TTAGTAAATTTTATGTTGGACCCTGGAAACACACACACACACACACACACACACACACACACACACACACACACACACACACACACACACACACACAAACGCCCACATAAACAGGAACAGCACAAATGTTGTTTATCAAGGCCAAAATGTTTGATATATAAATGTTTTTAACGGAAATCCTGCTGTGAATCTCCATAAAAACAGTGTTTATATTATCTTTACTAAACAAGAATTTCTGCCAAACAACATGGCTACGGAGTCTATGTTGGAGTGAAGCCTGTACAGACTGGCACCATCACCGCTTCTGCACACTAAACTGGACACCGCATCGGGCACTGTAGCTGGACAGGGGACAGTTTAATTACATGCTCGCTCACTTCACTGACTGCCCTGTGGATTTGATAATGAACACGTCACAGCTACCAGGAATCCAGCTGGTGTATTAACCACCTTATTAGTATTAGCATTGGCATGGACACGCTATATCCTGAGTGCTGGTAAATGATCACAGTGGAGCAGTGTCACCACAGGTCCACAGAGAGGTAATACAGAGCCATAGGGGAGTTTCAGGCTGTTAATGCAGTTACAGAGTGCGGCGCACACTTGATACTCCTGTTTTAAAGCAATCTAAATGTAAATAAAAGGGCTGTGCCAAGACGGGAACCTGCAACCACTTCCAAATTGACTGACAGGTTTTTAATACAGGTACGAACATTAGACAACATCTGTATCCAACATATTCATGTTTCCTGGTGCTGGTTAATGGCTGTTTTTTCTCTCTCTTATAAACAGCAGGAAACAGGCTTGTATTTAAACAGTGATCAAATATTGAGTTTAAATCCAAACTTTTTAATGATGAATGTGAAAGTTAATTGTGTTTAATATGAGTAATTGGAGATTTTTTTGCACATGAAAACCATTCTAAGACATCAAGTTTATGACCTTTGTATTGGCATTCAGCTGATAATCTATCAACTGGCATTTTAACCATGTTATTATTGTTAAATATTTTTTTTATTTATGCCAAATAAGCTCATGTAGCGTGACAGTTAATCAAGTCTAATGACTCGAACTGAAGCTTAGAGTATTTCATTCTTTAAACAAACAATTGGAAAAGGTTCATCTGATCTAATCATGTCTCAGCATCAAAACGTGCATCACAAGTGACCCCATCTAATTCTACAAACATGCGGCTGCGACAAAACAAAAACCTGCAGTTATAACCTGCATTGTGTTGCATGTGCTCAAAAGGATGTGGCAGTAGAATCGAAACACACGAGTAATACAAGCATTAGAGTTGACTCAGCGTTTCCTACTCAGCATTAAGATTTGTCAGAACTATTGTGTGAATGATTATTTAACATTCTTGTCTTGTCTTGTCTTGTCTTGTCACCGCAGTTGATTTCAGAGCCTTTCTCCTTTTCCTCATCCACCTCCTCCTTCTGAAAATAGGGCCCTTTGTATCTTCGCTAACAGGATTTCACACCTAGCCACTGTCACAGCACATATAGCGGGGCGACATATATTGCCTGTTGAACTGCACGGTGGAGACGTTTCAGATGTTTTTTAACATGTGGTTTTCGCGTCTTTCGGCTGCAGATTATCTTCTTCATGAATAACGTTAATATCGTATGAGTGGCACATCTGAATTGAACTACCCTTTTTTAGGGGGTAATTATATAACAACCCTGCTTTTATCCAGGCTGTTAATGCACTGTACAGCAAAGGCTACAGCTGCACTGAAGGTCGTCGGATGGGTCCAAGCAACAATTGGCATTGTGCACAGATTGGAGCCTTTCCAAGGTACATGCCAGCCAGACAACAGGCTAACTCCAAAATAGCAAACTGCACAGGTCTTGGATGTTTTAAGAGCTTGTATGGGGTTGGTCATGTCGTGAATTGCTGTCGCAGCTTGTCAATGGTAGTCACCTGGTGGGATCTGAAGGGGGTGGGATGGGATGGGGGGGCTGGCGCTGAGCTATGTAGGGCCGAATCCATTTATACTCAGACTGACATACACTGTTTCCGTCTGTGTCTCTATGTAGGTTATAACTCCAGCCAGACACTGACAACTTCAGTCATGTGCTGTTGTGAAAAATAATGAGGAACAAACTGCAACAATGACTTATTATTTCTCCATGCAGCTCGCACTAATGTGGTGATCATTTTATCCCTGGATGTCCTATCTCTTCCACTGCAGTCCAGGCCACATAGAGAGAGAGAGAGAGAGAGAGAGAGAGAGAGGGAGAGAGAGAGAGAGAGCAAGAGGAGCAGAGCGGGCCTAATTGTTTTCCAGAGTGTGCTTCTCTTAATTGTGTTTAAAGGATGAGATTCTCTTGGTCTTCGATTATGGCTTAGTGTCTTCTCATATATCAGTGAACAATACCAACCTGCGACCATATCAAAAACTCTTCCTGTCTACAACAATCTCAACACAAACCCTGCAAATCCGTTTCTGCAAATTCTTACTGACAGGCTGTGCTAATGTGAGCTACCATCTTGGTCCAAAGCCGATATTGTCTCCGACATCATCCCCCAGAGTGTTAATTTAATTCTCCAGTTCAGTCATTAAGATTTGTTTTTGACTGACATGAGTAGGTTTTGTTTTAATCATGCACAACTACTAAATTATCATCACTACAGTGAAAATCACCACGTGCAGGCTTTAACAATATTGTCGTTTCTTTCAACCTGTCATTTGCGGACCACTGAAGCTCTCTTGGCTGGTTCAGAATTCCTACTGACTTAAAAGTCTGTGCTCTTCATCTCCCAAAGCCAGTCCGCAAGGGTTAAAGGCAAATGGATAAACCTAAGAGGAATGTATGTAATGCGGCACTTCAGGCCGAACAGATGACGATGAAGGGCATGTTTTACATGTGCCAAAACTCCACCATTTGCCACTACCTTTTGCCACATGAGATGTGTGGGAGCCTACGCTTTAAATACAAACCCCGAGCAGCTGTCGAGTAATATCTCTCAGCGCAAAGACAAAAGGATGTAATGAAGTCTGTGAGATTATGGATGAGCACTGTGTGAACAAAAACAAACCATTTGTTGGGAACACTGATAAGATGAAAAAAAACAAACAAAGAGGTATCTAAAAACACAAATACAGGACTGAATTTATGTCTCTGCATTATTAATAGACAGTTCTAAGTCGGACACTGTTCAGCTTGATCGAGCCTTTGAAGTTGCAGGAGAAATTGTTTTCTTCTTTTTTTTTTATAGCTTTCACTCTTGTTTATTTATGGATAGGTCATATTTCATCCTCCATATGTCAAGAGATGCAAAATCAAAATAGATGGCGGCACACAAATAAAAACGTCCTTTTCAGTCCATACTGAACGAACCCCACAACCCACCCACCCCCAAAAATTAAAAATAACAAAACAGAATAAGGAAAATACTGAAAAACTCACACTACTCACACAAATCATTTTTACTCTCGCAGGACTGTGAGCTGTCAACCAAATGACTCAGCCCTCATAATTATGATAATTATGATTAATCTTCACGACTCCAGTCTTATCTGCTGTCACGAAATTCAAATGTGACCCAAAGAAACAGCACATTCTTCAAGGGATGAAGCTCATCATCCTTGACTTGAATATTTGCTAACAAATTTCTTCTTAACAAATATTGTAACATTTTAATGTTACATTTTGTCACCACACCCGTGTAGGGGCTTCATTTATTAGCAAAACTTTCATTGCAAAAGACAGACGTTCAGGTTCATTTGTATAGAGCACAACCTCACACAGGAGCAATTCCACACTGGACGGCTGTTAATTCAAACTAAAACACTGAATGCTCCTTTGCCTCTATTGTTCAATGACTGGAAAAATCAGTTGCATCTCAGTGTGTGCTTTTTTATTATGTGCTTATTGATCTATACACAGGTTACAGTGTGAATGCCGTCTAACAGAAAGAAGAGGTTATTTAGAAGACTTTTGAATGAACATCTTATGTGAAGTCAAGCATGACCCTTTCGGAGCTGGCTCCACTCGAAAATTAATTTTCAAATTGATTGAATGTTTATTTTCAATCATATGACCTTTATTCCATGACAATGCGAGCCACCAAAAAACACCACCCTGGCTGCCACTCTGTCTGTCTCCACTCAAGTGTGAATGGCAGCTTCACAAAGTGGCACTTAGTGTCATCCCAGATTACTTTCTTGACTCCTGTGTTTGAGACACTCACACTCACTCACATGTAACGACACACAAAAGTCTGAGATGCAGACTGAAACAACATTCAGTGAATCCTGTTTCGGGGCGGATTTCAGTTTAATACCCTGCAAATCCCTCTGATCAGACCAGATAAATGGTCATCACAAGGATTTGTCCTGGCACATCATGTGCACAGTGAATAATGCTGTCTCATTGGTTGCACTTTTGAATAATAATCAAGGATAATTACTGGCAATTGCAGTTCATCACACAGCGCTGTGGCATTGTAATTTAAACAGCTTCACTCCCCTCTTATCCAGCAATCATCATTTTCTTCACCCCCCAACCCCCCACCCCCCCTCACTGATAACAGCCGCACTTCACTGAACAAGGTCAACAGTCTAAGATAAGGGAGGTTACTCAGGGTCTCACTTGTACTGATGGAAATAGCCCAATTAACAGAAGGTTCCAGGCCTGGAATTTCGGCTAATATAGTTTTCCATCATCTATATCCTGATGATGCACACACACACACACACACACACACACACACACACACACACACACACACACACACACACACACACACACACACACATACACAACAGTCTTTGTCTTAAATAGAAGCACAAAGGCATATCCTTTTATAGTCCTCCCCCTATTGTTGGCAGTGTGGTTGGGCATGGAAGGGAGGGGTGTGGGGTGAAGATGACACCTGTGGACAGTGGATAAAGGGACCTAGCCTCTAATGGGCCACCTCCAGCTGCAGTGTGCTGGATCCCCCTGCACTATCAGTCCTCCCCTTCTGTCTCCTGAGAGCTTCTTGCAATGGCCCCCAAGAAGAAGGAAGAGCCTAAACCAGCACCAGCTCCAAAACCCCCAGAGCCTGAGCGCCCCAAGACCCCGGCGTTTGACCCTGCAACAATCACGGTAAAACAACTAAAACATCTTTATTCAGCAATGCTGCAAGACTGTAAAGTGACTTTAGATGAGGATAGATTAGAGTGGTTTAATCTTTGAAATGACTGATGAACACTCTGGAAATGAAATTTATAATCCACAGATTTGTTCATTAAAATTGTAGTGTTTATTTTTATCTTACAGTTGGATTATTGCTAATAATTCTGATGTAGTTCACTAGTTTGTAGCCAGAGCAGTGTTTAAAGAGCATCAGAGACCCCATGTGACCTAAACTTGGCAGTGCAGGCAAAACAAAACTTTGCATCCATTTGAGTGGGCTATGGTTATCCTGGCAATTTGTATAAGATTCACAGCTATTTCACAGCTTCACAGAATATCTGTTAAAGTTCAAACAGGCCTAGCAAATTATATTACACAGTAAGGGAAGCTGTGACTTCTTGGGGAAGTTCAGAGGCAAACTAGCTGATACCACACATTATGGAAAGATCTTCTGCTGACTTGGCCCCTTCTCAATGGATAAATGTTTTCCTGGTTGAACGAGCCGCCATGTTACAATGGAGCGCGGTTAAAGCCACAAAATATGATTTTCATTATGTCTGTGAATAGCAGACCACCCGCACCAGTCCTCCCAGGGCAGAAAAGGGTGGAAAAACCGAGAGGAAGAAAAATATAGATAATTAGATCCATCACCATCCATCTTGAGGCACACTTAGATAAGTGTTTAGATAATATTTTTGCAAAGCTTCGCGGTGGAGACAGGGTTTTGTGGAGGTCCAGACGTTAGGTAAAAAGTGAGGGCACTATCTGATGGGAGTCCAAAAAATACATGGAGTATTAATAGGCAACATTTGTCATGGGTGTTCAGAATAATGATTTATTTTTAGAATTAGAATAACTCATCAAACAGGAGCGCAATGCAGAGTGTAAAACCGAAATGCAATACAGATACTGTAGCTGTAGTTAAACCTTCATCTCTTTTTCTGCTAAAGAACATTAACATGCTCTGCTGTAGTACTGAACTGACCCTAACAAAATAGCAGCACATGTTGCAAGGCAATGCATTCTAGTAACTATTCATTTTAACTTGTGTGGGACCGTGCGATTTATCGGCTTCATTCATTTTCTTTGATGCTCAACACAAACGTCCAACATAATCATTAGGTTGTGGATTACTGCCCTCGCTGGTGTTTATTGTATCAACGATTCTTTGCCACATATCACATCCAAAAATAAACTCAAATGAATCTGACAGTAGCTGACAGTATAAATACTGTAAGACGGGGGTGTTAGACCCAAGGTCACCGATAAACAATGTACTATGATCAGAGCAGATGCAGACTGTAACTCGATCTGCTGGAATGGCATGATGAAGGTGGAGGCAAGGTCAGGGATCATGCTTAGCAGTTTGTTATCCAGCTTTTTTTTTATCATTAATTATCCTCCTCTGTAAATCCCATTCATTTGCCTTGTCAGTTGTAGGAATTCTTGAATGAGCAGCAGCATCTATAAGCGCCCTGTTTGCTTTGTGTCTTTTCAGCTGGAATTCACCCCGGAGCAGATTGAGGGTAAGGTTGAGGTTGCTGTTACGGTTATCATTCATAGTGCATGGACTGTCTGCTATTTATAGAGGGAATGAATGGGTTGTGTGATGGTGCTCTCCATTGGTGTTGCGAGACATGTTCAACAACAGCTGATGATACAGTGGTTCAGGGATGTGCTATCGTTTTAAAGTAAACACATCTAAGTCAATCCCTCTGAAAGGAGGGTTATGTTGATGGGGGTCGAACACCTTAAGGTTTGACTCTCTCTGGCTTTGTCTTTAGCAGAGGACCCTTTTATCTGAAGCATGCCATCATACATTATGACTTCGCAACACAGGCAGCATCTTCAAGGCCTCTCCTCAAAGCTTCTTAGATCACACTGAACTGAACAGAATTCAAAAGGAATAACCAGCTCTTTATTTCTGTTCACAGATTTCAAAGATGCTTTCCAGCTGTTTGACAGGACTCCGACCAATGAGATGAAAATCACTTATGCCCAGTGTGGTGACCTGATCAGGGCTCTGGGCCAGAATCCCACCAATGCAGAGATCATGTATGTCCTTGGAAAACCCAAAGCTGAAGGTTGGTAGAATATGCACACAAGTACACTGAGTGATTCCCCTGTATGTGCATGGTGACACTGGTGTTAATATTCTGTGCTGAATCTGGTTCAAGGGCAGCATCTGTTGAATACAGAGAAAGAAGCCTGTTCAGCTTCTTTTTTTTTTAGCTTAGATAAAATCAGCACTGTCATTATTTTCCGCAGACATGCAGAGCAAGATGCTTGACTTTGACCAGTTCCTCCCAATGCACCAACACATCTGCAAGGCCAAGGATCGTGGAACATTTGAGGACTTTGTTGAGGGTCTGAGGGTGTTTGACAAGGAGGGGAATGGCACAGTCATGGGAGCTGAGCTCAGGCACGTTCTGGCAACACTCGGTGAGTCCAGCAGTTTTACTGCAAACAGATTTTTTTTTTTTCATAACGCTGCTGTTGCAAGAATACACACTGAGCTGACAGTTTCCTCTTCATGGACCACAGGTGAGAAGATGAGGGAGGACGAGGTGGAGCAGCTCATGCAAAACCAAGAGGATGCTAATGGATGCATAAATTATGAAGCTTTTGTAAAACACATTATGGCATCTTAAAAAAGGTACATGTGTATTTCAACCATTGTCATTCTGGTGCTACATCACTCTGCATTATGAAATCAATGAGTGAGTAATGAGATTGTGTCTTCACTTCACTAGAAAACCAACACCCTGAATTCTTGACTGCAGAAGATCTCTATCGTTCTGTAAATCCCATCTTGTATATTTCTCATTTCCATGCTTCTCAAAGGGATCTGTAACTCATCAATATTTCACCTTGTTTTTCTAAGACCACTTGTGTTGATGCTGTGCACACATTGCACATTGCCCCTGTTCATATTGTAGATCATGGTAAATAAATAAATACATTTTGATGGTGTTCTCTTTTTCAAAACAGTGCTCTTTCACCACAGTTTATCGTCTGTATGCTTCACAGGAAAAGTTGTGCTTCAGAAAGAGTCATATACACCTTACAGTATGTCATTACAATAGAAAAAATAGAAACTTAAATAAATTAAGTGACAAATTAAAAGCGGGATCCCTGCTTTCATCGGGACAGAAAGAAATCACAGTTGGAAAACAAAAAACATCTGAGGTCTGTGGGTGCATCAAAAACCAAATCAGGTGTATATAGAAAACAATATAGGACACAGTTCCATTAATTGGAAACCATCATGTGAAGGAAATGTTTAGAATAGTAGTAGTTCCACTCTTTTCCCAGCAGAGGGAGGTGTTGCTCAAGTCATTTTGGTAGTCAGGAAACACAGTGGTATAAATCAGACAACCTGCCATTCCTGTGTTGAATAAGTGAATAAACTTCACAATACAGATCCAAAGCTCCAGTGGTTTGTTTTCAGCATAATGAGAATAAACCGCTATAATTCACCTGTCAGTACCCCATGCATCCCACAGAACTCAGATCTCATGCACTCAAATTCAAATTTCCATTTGTTCCAACCACAGTTACCTCATCACTGATGACTCTACATCTTTCAACACTTCAAATAAAGACTCATAATCAGCCTAATTTAAATAACTGTTAGAAGCTTTTTCCCTCAAAATGCAATACACCCCTGCCCTTACTTGTAGCTGTGGAATAATCCCTCTCTTGTTTCACACTCACATTTCCACTGAATGTGAAATAACACAACTTCCTTCTAGACCTGAATATGATGGATTTGTGTTGTAGCTGGTTGAACATTTCAGTGTTATTATGCTACTTAGCTGTGGTTAGCTAACTTGTTGCTAACAGGCTGATTTACGCCATAAAATATTTATCGGCTGAAGGTAATTAGTTTTCAATGGCAAAATCATCCTTTTCCACCAATGGTATGATATGTATTGTGCATTAACTTGATTCAACAAGCAGTAGCCTATGGGATGTGTACACTACAGAAAAGTGAAAAGTGAAATATTCAAGCTAATTATTTTTTTGCTGCACCATTCAGTCAAATGAAACATTTTAAAGATGTCCCATGTATCATTTTATACACATATCCCCAAAATTTATTTACGTTTTGCATCTTTGGAAACAGGTTTGAACAGTGTTTTGCTGCAGCACATGAGTTTGTAATGCCTGACCCACCAGCTTGGGGATAAACTTGGAAACAAATCCTTCCTTACTATTTTAATTTTAACATTGATATGACCTTCATTTCTGCTGGCCTTCATCACATCATGTATACCCTTTGTGAGTCAGCTCTCCACTTCCAGCCTGAGCGTCAGGCTATATATTTATCCGTTATTTGTGCACAGCCAATATTTCCGCTGGACCTCCAGGATGGCACCAGTGTCACAAAGTGACCTGGAGATACGGGTTTATAGGATTCCACTATGTTGTCTTAATTGTTTGCCATGTTGTGTGTTATTGTTTAATAGATTTGTCACTAGGTTATCTCCTGAGTCTCTGGAGGACCTCGACTGCGTGGATGCAGGAGCACAATCACCTTTCCACACAGTGATTGGTTGGACAGAATAGAAAAGACACCGAGAGCGGGGCTGTGGAGTCGCGGCCGAAAAAGAGAGAGAAAAAAAACAGCAGGAGGGAACGGGTGTGAAAAGCAGCTCCCGCTCAAGGCAAGACTTGTTGAGAACATGAGAAGCGAGTAAACTCTTAAAGGACTTATTGAATGCCGCTGTGATGTCGATGTCCCCCCCCCCCCCCCCGAGATAGAGCCCGTGGCTGTTGGAGTAAGCTGTGGCAGTGCGTAAAGATCGGCTTGGAGTGAGGCAGCGCAGTGAGAAAGAAGAGCGAGGAGCGAGGAGCGTCCACGTCCCAGCTCTCCTCCCTCTTCCTCCTCCTCTCTCAGACATTGCCTGTACGACTGAAGTAAAAAAAAAAAAGGAAAAAAGAGAGACCTCAGGGACTATTAATAGGGCTATATAGACTGTGTTGGCCAACAAATAATTCAGACTTAAATGAGCTTGCCTCTGGAAAAATAAACCATTGTTCTAAAACTGAATCTTGACTGTCTGTCTGTTTACTGCGCACCAGAGAATAAAAGATACCTGCGACACCAGTTTCTGGTTGCTGGGATATTTTGATTCAGTAAAGCAGCTGTATCTTAATGAAACCATTCCCCTAATGTTATTCCAAGTAAAGACAAATGCTGTTCCTGTTAAAGAGCTATTTAATCTTACTCGGCCCAAGTTCTCCCCCCCAAAGTGTCATCCTTAGGGGAAAAATAATACTGAAATGAAATGTTTTCATTTCACATTCTTTGCTTTGGCTTGATTGATTTGATTAATTAGACAAAGAGTGTATTAAGCCTTCCCTTTGCAAAGAATTGAGCTAAAGTATATAATTCTACTGGCTCCTCCGATTTTCAGCTTCAGTGTCACAGACATAACATAAGTCCAAATGCAGTCCACCATACTTCCATTAAGAGCATCCGTTCAGTAATGTTTCCCATTAGTGAATGATTTGTTGGCAACAGGTACTTCGTGGAACAGTGATGTTGCTTTGATGTAACCAGTGGAAAAATGTATTACATGTTGAACATCGTGGCCTCTATTCCAATAATTTTATAAAGAAAAATAAGAAAGTTAATCAGGATATAAATAAACACAACGTAACAATTTTGCGCCTGTTGTTACTATTGTAAACATAAAGGCTGCAGTGCTGTGCTTCAACTAAACAACCGACGTTTAAAACATATGTTTTAGTTTACACTAAAGAAAATAGTTACCAATTAAAGGTGTACCTTTTAGTATTGCACTTCCTTAAAGTTTGGGGTAAGTCACTAATGACACCTTTAAAAAAGAAGAGATATCCTGATTCTGCCTTTGAGTCAAGCCTGAAAAATGTTGGATCCCACATTTCCCATCATGTAACCACAGTATTTTTTATCAGACCCTCCCTGCGTTTAACACAGGCAGCACATTTTTGGAGTTTTAACAATTTTAAGGGATATTACATTAAGTCCTAAACAACATACTTAATTTCGACTGCTTAAACTAAAAGCAAAATACATCAATAAAACATTCACTGTTTACCACCATGACTTGTTTTCCTTGCTGTGCGTAAAAGGCTTTATAACAACATTTAAGAAATATTATTGAAAGGTACAAATAATTAAAACATTTTCTAGACTTTCCTCTTTGTGTCTGGTCTGAATCTTCTGGGGATGGGAATGGAGACAACTGTGGGGACTTGGACAGAAGATCTCAGTATTTCTAACATCCTGGCTCAGGCCTGAACGCAGGCTCTTTTAAATTTAAAAAGACTTGACTTGTCAGTCTTGACAAACCTCCTCAGGATCCACAGAAAACATTATCAAAATGACAAATAAACTGACCTTTATGTGGAAAATCGACAGGGTGCTCTTTAAAGGATGCCACCCAGGAGCTTTATTCTGGATGAGATCATCATTTTCTCTAAAAGCAAGCATTCCTTAATTGATTTATCAACCTTAACATTTCTGCTTTTTTTTTGTTTGTTTGTTTTTTGTTTTTGTTTTTGTTTTCAATGGGAAACACCTCATTATAACATTATAAATGGCGAAGCATTGTTAAGAGTGCAGAGCTAGCCTCAGGCTGTCATGTCAGTCATTTATTTTCAGCTGAGGTAATGACTGGTGAAATGTAGTTCAGTATAGACACAAGGGAGCTCAGGGCAAATAATCCACAATAAAGTGCAGATGTGCAGCTGGCCTCTGGCATTGCTAAACTGAAGAATATCTAATCTACTGTCTACCTTTCATACTGTTGTCAACGAGAAAAAGCATTAATTGTCACAACAAGCCTTTATTAGGCTGCATCAGAGTCCCGGCTAATTGTTTGGGGATGTATAACTCATCGAGTCCTGAGGGTTCTAGGCACAGGCAGTAGTTTCTGCTCCACTTCTCTCCAGCCCAGCCTGAAATATATGAGACTGTATCCACGTTCATATTACATAACCTAACAGGCGTTCTCTTAGGGCATCTTCCCTTCCATCACTAAAAACTATATTTACAAGACAATTACATGCCACAGTGCCTGTGAGGCTGCGGTAGTCTACTCTATCATAAGAATAATTACTTGATTGAGTCATCACAAGAGTGCTGCATTTATTTCATACAGTATGGGATAAATGGCAAATGAATCAACTAAGCAGATCCTATTAGTGCAATCTGTGGCTAATGTTAAATTGCCAAATTGCCCAATGTAACTGAATGGACATAATGCATTATATACTCTGTCAACACCGATCACTGTTGTCTACAAACTCCCTCGAAAATATGAGATTGTTAACAAGAAAAACCAACGAGCAAAAATAAGAGTATCATTTCAATTTAAATCAATATTTTTCCTTTCACATGTGCATGTACAAATGTATATCAGAAACACAATGATACATCATTTACAGAGACATTAGCTTCCTTTTCACAAAAAAAAAGCATTTCCTTTTGTTTGTAAGGCAACATGGGTGGTTCAACAAAGAGTCTTCAATAAAATCAGTAGGTCAAATATAACTTACCAAATCTGACATCACACTGCGTTGAATACATTTACTCATGTACAATAAATGGTGTACAAAAAAACAGCAACAAGTTTTTTGTCTACAAAGTGTAGTGGGAACAATAGAAATATGTAGATAATAAAAATTCTATATGTTGGTAAACATGGTTTGTCTCTTTGGTGAGTTTGAATAAATGATTTGTTTACTTGTTTACGTATGAAAATATTTCACAACCATTCTGAGACGTACTTTCTATGTTTATGATGAGGTCATGGAAGGGTGTGCAGTGTTACAAGCTGCACAAGCTATGATGCTGGAACCAGAAATGAAAATATTTACATTAAAATCACTTTGGATGAGCTACATTTGATATGACACATAACATCAGTCCACATGAGCAGCATGTCAACAAAAAAAAATGTCTGCACTATTGTAAGAAAAGTTTGCAAAATACAAATTTGAAATGTATCTACATTTTAAAACAAAGACTGATGAAATATTTTATGTTCTATACAACACCCTCAGATACATATGATCACAGATCTCACAGAAATTCAATATATTTTATTTTACTTTTTTAAAATCCATACTCCACAGAAGTGTAGATCCAGTGGATTTTAATCCTGTATCAAATAATTTTATAAATAACAGATAAATACCAAACAAAAAAATTACATACAAACTAAAATAAAACAAGATAATTCATTTAAAAAATATTCACTGTTTTGTAAAATGTGCTTATTCCCTTTCTTGCTTCGAGTTAGATACGAAGATCAATACCACTCTCATGCCTCTATGCTAAACATGAATCTACAACTAGGATCCAGTTATCTTAGCTTAGCATAAAGACTGTAGAAACGGGGAAACAGCTAGCTTTACTCTGTCCTAACATTACAAGTACATCTCTATAAAATTCACTTATTAACAGTAAAAGTAAGGAAAAAAAAATGTGTGGATTAATGGGAGGGGGGTTTGTTCCATGTCTTTATGCTAAGCTATGCTAATAGCTGCTGGCTGTACCTTCATAATTAACAAACAGACATGAAAGTGGTAGCTATTACTTCAGACATTCTTAATTGTACCACCTGACAGACCAAAAGTCTTTCTGGGACACACCAGGGAACATCTGCATCAAAGCTTAAGCTTGCGGCATAATTCAGATTTTTTGGATTGTTCGTAATCCCATTCAAAACTAATATGTCCTTCCTCCACTTTATCCTTTAGTACAAACAAAGGTACTTTTGCTTGTTATTGCACAAATATGGCTGTTCCCAGTATTACTGTTTGAGCAGCCTGAGCAGATGTAAGAGATGGTGTTACAGCCCGACAGTATGTTGATCTGACCAGGGCAAGTGGTTAGGGATACAATTGGTGCTCACTTAATCAAGCTTCTCTACTCTTGAACCAGCAGCTTAGTTGTGACACTGATTACGAGAAAGCCACAAGGATTTTATGAGGCCAAAAGAATTTAATCTGCTTCCACTGTGCCTGCATGATAAATCCATGCATGGCACTTAACTCACATTTGCATTACATAAATGACTTCAAATCACTTTTGCAACTCCATATATAATCTTCCATTTACTTGTTTGGAAGAGAGCTTTTATTTGGGGCTGCTCATCCATTAGCTTCAAGGAATTCAAACACTTATCACATTAAGTTGCTGTATGTTCACAAAAACCAAACAATGGTGGAAACAAATAGCTGGAACACAGCATTAGAGAGGAAGCTTAGCTTGTAAACAATTATTTTTAACAATGTTTAAAACAGCACAGTACGAGAATAGAAATTCAATGTGGTATAAAAAAAAAAAAACAGACTTAAAGGAGAAGACTCATCTGAGGAAACATTATAAAGGCTCCATTAGAATGGCTTGTTTGTATAAAATATTCAGCTCAGATTGACCAAAACATACGCCTCCACCGATTGTGTTTTGGCGAATACTTTTTATTCACCTCACACTAAATTATTTTGAATCCCTTTTCACTACCGAGAGCAGTGACTCTTTTGAATCTCATGCCTTTTATTCCGTGCAGTTTTTTTTTTTGATATTTAATTCAGATGAATCATCTTCTTCCCCAAAGCTCCTTTCCAAACTGTCAAAAGCAGCTGTTGATGCCAAGGAGCAGTTAACTCAAAGAGCATTTTTTGCATTTTGATGTTCATCATACTCAATAAAAATGGCTGCTTTGGCAACATTGTGAATGCATCTTAGCCAATTAAACTGCAAGTATTCCTCAATGCCTTCCCTCAAAGTCACAATGGAGCCACGTGCCTACATGTGTATGAAATATCCTGCTGCAAATCCCGCAGGATTATCTTGCTTCACTAATAACTACTAAGCAGTAAGAAGACAGGAATCAGATGATAAGACTTGTTGTGATGTGACAGTTTGATGATGATGTCATTTTTATATCTTTTTAATACACTAATCTCTAGAAAAACTCAAACCCGCATATCTCATGTAGGCTACAGTATGTTACGGGACATAATCCTCCAAGACTCTTATGTGTCCATTTTACCTCATGTGCACTTCAAGTGTAATTTTAGGTGCTATTTATTTTTCTGACCCGACAACAGAAATTTCCTGGACCTTCAGTCACGTTGGACACACTGTGGCCTTGTTTGAGAAATAAGTCCGTTCTGTAAATCACTTCATTATTTGTACTGGAAAAAGAGTAAGTCTGTTCTCTCAGATGCTGTGGTAGAGATTACAGTACGTGTTTGTTCCCCTGGTCACACGGCTGTGGTCTGTTTGATGCTGTGGAAGCTGATCCTGGTTGGAGATGTGGGGATGGACATGGCTCGTGCCACTCGCACTCGAAGCGCGTGGTTGTCCTGCCAGCGATGCCACCGCTTCCGTACTGCAGACCGTACCTGAAATGTTGAAGATAAAAAGTGGTATTATTATAGGTCTAGCACTTATTGTAACTACTTCATATGAGCAGAGAAGAGGAAATGCTACAACTTCAAACCTTGACCTTGATCTTTTGTTGATTTAGGGAAACATACTTGCTGAGAGTTAGATGAGAGAATGTATTAATTGGTGAGCTTCAGAGGCACTGGTAGGTAGATATTTTTAAATGAGAAGAATTTTAGTTTAGCACAAATGCAGAAAACCGGGGGGGAACAGCTAGCATGGCTAGCACAGCTAACCTGGCTCTGTCACAAATTGTTGTCCTTATACTTTAAGTTTGTACAGATTAAACAAATAAGATAAACATGTTTCCCATTGTTTTTCAATCTTTAAGCTAAGCTAACTGTCTCCTGGCTGTAGCCTCACACTCAACAGAAAGATATGAGTTGTATCAATGTTCTTGTTAAAGAAAAGAAAAAGATCCTTTTGGCAAAAGAAATGAAATGTCATGTCAAACGTTTCCTTTAATGTTGAATCCTACAAACAATCCAGAGAGAATGGAAGAGGAAGGAACTGTAGGTTTAATTTCTTACTGAATTTAGAGTTTATGGGAATAACAGTTTGAAAAGTTATCGCTATGCCTTCACTGTAAATGTTTTAATGGCCAAATGTGGAGAAACCGCAGGCATTTTGAAGCATGCCCAATAAAGCATTTCCCCACCTTTATTAAACCTTTTAAATCAGGGCCAGATGAAGAAGAATTGTGGCAAACAAGAAAACCGCCTACATCCATGAAAGCAGTGATTCAAAAACATTTAAACCTATCCATTAATGCCACACAGTCATGTTTGCCAATGGCAATTTGAACTTATGTTAAATAATTTGACAAGAGGGGTGACTCAAATTCTTCACAATTCTTCATTAGCTGCCTCTCCACCCCCAAATTTCAATTATTCAAGGCTATGAGAGAGCTGCAAGAGGGTCCTTCATTTTTCACTATAGGGCATTAATGACTTTCATACAGCTGGATATGCAGCAGTTTGGCTTTATTTCAATTAAACAAAAATGACAGAGCTCAATTAAGGTTTTTTATCATGTTTTAGGATCCTCATCAAATTATTACAGTCTCACCGATGGAACAGAAACCCTTTTAGCTGTTTTGTTTCTCACTTTTGAAAGCTACCTGATCCTACCCCTGTTTGAACTTTAAAAATTGTAACTCGGAGGTAATTTAGAAAAAAAAACATTACTAAACTAATCAGGGGAATTTGTTTGGAATTTTATTAAAATCATATATCAAGAACACACATTTCACAACTGAATGAAATTCATAAATTCAGAAAGTCTTGTGCAAAACTCAAGTGACTCACCTCTCCATTTAGAAAGCAGTAAAACACTGACACAAAGAACCCCTGCAGAATTACAGACATTACAGTTAGAAACAGAAAATGCTGCAGTATTGTGTAATGGCACCTGAATTAGACATAAGAGAATTCACATGCTGCAGTCATGAAATAAAAAGGCAAAAAATAAAAATACAAATATCTGTTCAATTTTGGGAGCAAATCTTGTCATGCCAAATATAAAAAAAGAAACTCTGCTTGAAATCCCTTTTTCCTCTTTCCTCCCACTCAGTCTTCGATTTAAACACAGTAGATAGAAAGATAAAAAAAAAAAAAGGCCACAGAGCAAAAATCATGCCCATGTGGCCTTGTTAATCCTGACAGCTGAGAACACTGAACATGAGGCAGGAAGGCCATACTGTGTGTAAGGACAGCTAGGATGCTACTTCTAATCATTTTCCCACAAGTAAGCTCAAACCTGAAATGGCACCATGAAAGAAGTGATACAACACTGCGATACAATGAAATCAGCATGAAACTATTAAGATTTCATAGTCATTATGATTGTTCGCTTCAGAGACAGAGTGTGTGGGTTTTCTAGGTCAATGTCACACTGTATCACTATAATTATTCTCACCTGGAAGGACTGTAAAAAGGAGTTGAAATAGATGAAAACGATTTGTGAGATGTCGTCCTCTCCGGGATTCACAAAGAAGAGCATGTAGGTGATGCCCAGCAGAGGTAGCAAGACTAGTGTTGCTTTCACGGCTTTTCTGTGAACGCAAGGATGGAGCAGCATTTGTAAAACGACTAAAAATAAGAACTTGGATTCCACTTGGTGCTGGAAAGTTAGAACAAACGCACAATCCTGCGTCAGTGGCAGAGTGGGAAAAACACACACCACCGCTTTTGCTTCTCACAATTTCAACACATTATAATGTCTAGCTTGCAAGATGGGCGCCACTTTCTATCAAGACACTCCGTATAAAGGGTTTATAAGATGCACAGTAACTTATAGATTAATAAATAGTTAACAAATCATTTACTAATGCTTTGAAGATCAGCTGTAAGCAATGATTAAGAACAACTTATGAGGTTCCAAGCTACCAAACTACTTTTGCATGGTGTTTGTCCTGTTTGTTTGGAAATCATTAATTATTACTCATACATTTTAAACCATCAGGTTGTAGCTAAATGTTTATTAGTCATAAGTAGTTTTTAAAATAATCACTTGTAAATGTCGATAAGTTGTAATGTTCTGCATGTGTAACTGTCCATTAGAGAGTTTTTTCTGATGGAATAACAACCTGGAAACCCAAGATGTTAAAAAGGAAGATATGTTTTCTGCCCATGTTCTTCTTGATGTGTTGTGACAGGCCAGAAAATTTAAAGATGACAGAAAACCCCAGAAAACCCCATCAACGCATCAGCAGCGTTTAGAAGGAACCATTATATTTCATTTTGAGGTCAAAGATTCAAAGCTTGACACTCCTATTCTCCACTCACTTGCAATCTGCATGGCTCACATCAGCATGTCTGTCACCCACCGACCAAGGAAACCAACTCTAGCCTGAAAAGCCTGAATTAAAGTTCTTTGAGCTGAGACACTGTAAACACCCCATCAACTCAAAATAATCCCTGAAGGAGAAAAATACAAAAGGCGAGAAAACAAACTCACAATTTTAGCGGTCAGACGTACAAGATAACAACTTAAAGCGCACAGCTCACCTCACTCAAGCACACATCAAACACTCATCAAGTCCTGTCAGACACATTTTTTTTCCACCTATGAAGACTGGGGACATGTACTTGTGCAAGTTGTGCTTGCTCAGACCAATTTGTTTGTCTAGACCTGCAATAGGCTCTGCGGGATGTTACTGAAACACAACAAATTAAATTGCACCTTTGATTTCCAAGGAAAATAATTCAACATGCATCTATCCTATGATATTGGAGGAACAATTCAGCTGAGAAAATCAACATGTTTTGACCACTTTTTGACAATAGAAATGCTGTTTTATTTGCTTTAAGTATCAGTGGGAAAAGATTAGGTTTTAGGGTGTTAAGGTGATTTATTGTTTTTCATTTACCAACAGTAACTGCAATTACCAGCAACACTGAAAGAGGCAAAGAAAAGCCATAATAATGATAATGGGTCTCTACTACTATTGCGGTACTTGGCTGTGATTTTATTTTATTGCCAATAACATCAGATCCTCAAAAATCTGCTGGATGGGAAAATATTTGGGGAACAGAACAGTGACACTGATTATAAAGGTTCAAATTAGTCTGCTTTCTAAACTGGCTACTGTGGCGCCAAAGATGTATCTCCTGACAGCCTTAAAGCGCTGCACGTTGTCCTTGCAGGATCAAAACAATAGGAGGAAGTCGTTTGTATATCATACACAATCCTGCACAGAATCTACTCACCTGTATTGTATTGTTTCAGATGTAGTTGAAGCTCTTAGTTTGGTCATAAGAATTCGTACTATATTGAAGAGGAACACAAAGTTTATCTAGAAAAACAGACATACAAAATAATTAGTTTTGAACCCTGCGCTAATGGCTCACACTGAGATGCACTGCGAGCAATTTTCTGCTGCGAACAAACTTTGCTCATTAAATGCTGAGTAGGAGGAGCAGAGGGCGACACAAGTCAGAGCCACTTCTTTTCTCAACAAGTCAGTGTCAGAGGAGAACACTAATCAGAACTGGTCACTGCACTGCTACATGCTGGTGTAACAGCTTGTACATAACCATTAGTGGATACATTCCTATGAATACAATTTCTTATTTTCAGGGATATTATTTGCGAGAATGCCTTAACCCATCAGGAAGATTAATTCCACCTTTTTTGGCGAGCTAGTCGCAGGATGGAAATGGCTTTCATTATAAAAACAATTTTCATCTCAGGGCAGATTTTTATTTATTTTTTTCATCAGTTTACAGCTACAAGCAAACATTAGTGATAAATCTTCTCTTAGTGTCGCATTATATGAATTAATGGTTCTAACAAAAAGTAAAACTGGGAATAATGGCCGCGGGGACACAGTACAATGGCTTTCTGTGTTGTTGCTTACCAGAAGGACAAGAATAACTGGCCCCTGGTAAATGTAGTCCATATATTTTCCAGGTTCTTTACCGAACCAACATCTGTTGACAGAGGAGAGGAGAGAATCAGTAGCATCTAATCAAGGAAAATTTTAGGAAAATAGATTTGGACACTTACTGTTCATTTTCATAATACAACTTTCCGATGGCCCAGGCAACAATTATAGGGAATGGAATACCTGTAACAAAAAAAAAAAAAAAAAGACATAAAAAGATTCAGATAAGCCAGGAGCAACATAAAACAAGTATCACAGTTCATTCAATCATTCATTCATTCTCTGCTCGCCTTTTCCATTTTAATAACCCTGGCTTCCCCGCCTTTTATCTGCTGCCCACATCCTAACCTGTTCCCAATTCCCTAATCAACTGTTAGTGTTCATATCGACCCGTTTCCACTAATTCCCCACTAGACTCTCTATTGTCTTTTCCACACTGTCTCTCTTTTTTTGCCTGCCTGTTTTTGACCACCTGCCTGTTTTGGGATTTTGCCTTAAACTGCCGGCCTGTTACCAACCACTGCCCACGCTCTGCTTTCGCCTGCTGTTTGCCTTTGCCTGGTTCTGCCTGCTGAGTCTTAATGCAGGTGAACTGTTCTGAACTACTAGAGTCTCTGAGTTGTGCCATAGTGTTGTCCTCAACCTGAGCCATGACAATAAGGGCCATAGAATATTGTTAGGAAAAGATTTTAACAAAACTAATAAATATAATATATTAAATAATACAGGAACTCACAGTAAACCCATCACTACAAACAGCTTTCAGATGGCACTGGAAGCAGATGGTGAAGACCACACAGTCTATTTGTTCTGCTTGATCAAACATAACAAGACTGCAAGACTCTGGACTCTACAAAGCACAAACCTGGGGAAAAAAAATGAAGAAACATGTTCCCACTTTCCAGGGCTACAGAGTCAGCTACACTAACAACATTTAACCCTACAGAGGCTTCACAGTCATGAGAACACGTCACTCTAGAGCTCACGCTCACAGCTGCTGCCTTCATGGAGATGCAGGAGAGAAATAACGGCCCTATGTGCATGTATCTGCGGAGTGGCTGCTGGTCTTCTCTTGAAGTAGAAGAGTTCATTTGCATAATTAGATGACTGACTTTATAGACTCCAGCCCCCTCGTTACCCTGAATAGATAAGCTGTGTGGCTAATGAATGAAAGAATTAATCAATAACGGACTTGATTTAAAACAGGTGCCCATACCGTACAATCATTGTTAGCTTCAGTTATCCCTGAAAAAATGTCACCAATTTACATTAAATTCTGCCACTTGCCAAAATGCACAAGAAACACTCTCCACCGCGTATAGATTGCAGCTCTGTCTGCTGAACACTGTTTCAACAGTAATCTGCAATCAGCATGAGTTGAAATGCACACATGGCCGTGACATGTTTCGAGTGGAGGACGACCACTCGCTCGGCTCCGGGGATTTTATTTGATCAAGTCTGAATGTGTGGTTGAATTTTCAAATCAGATGGACAAAAATATTAGGGCTAATTGGCAGATTTTTAAGGAACCTTTTCACACTAGAGCACTTGTATCTAGTTTATTATCAATCAATCAATCAATCAATCAATCAATCAATCAATCAATCAATCAATCAATCAATCAATCAATCAATCAATCAATCAGACTTTATTTGTATAACACTTTTCATACAAACAACCCCCCCCGCCATCCGCACACTGTTATAAATAAAAAAAAGTGTGGTCTGTGGGCCTGTGCTGCACCACAAAGCACTCAGGACTGCAGTTCAAGGAAAAGTGTGCTCCTTTTACACGAGCAGTTGATTCTTGACTTTTTTCACCCTGAGCAAAACATCTTCCAGCTAAAGATCATTAGCCAGTGCACAAGTCAGATGTTTTAAAAACAAGGTCATAGGGTCAACTTCTGTAACTAGCTCGACGAATTGGATCAGGTGGTCGAAAAGGTGAAACGATCATCGAAATGACCTTTAATGGAGCTGAAAGAATGGTCTGGACCTACTTAGATCCCAGCTTCCATCAGGCCTCTAGTGGAAGACAGATTTAATGTGCTCTACTTCCATCGTTTCCTCATGCATTCTAATTTACATGTTCTCAAGACTAATATCAGCGGCACAATGAGAAGTCCATTCTCTTTACTGATTGCAGCCGTAGTCAAAATGAAGATGATTTCATAAATTATTATTCACACCATATTACGTGTACACTGTAGCTATTATTTAGACATTATTCTTAACAATTCATTTTAATTTTTTATTCTATTTTATGTATTGGATTTTAAATAATTATTCCTCTATTTGATTCTTCTTTAGCCTGTTTCTTTTGCTGCTGTATCATATGAATTCCCCCCTGGTGATAAATAGTCATCAACAGTTTTGTAACAGGTGAGTGATACTGTATTCTTTTAATGGATTAAATATCTTGCAGCAGGTGATGGGCATCAAACATGAACATGATTTTTCAAGATATTGTGTTGACTGAAAATACCTCCAACATGTGGTATGTAGCAGCACTGTCACACTGGATCCAAAAATAAAAAAGTTTAATCTGCACTTGCACAGTGTGCTCTGTGAATTTAAAGTACTGATGAGTTGACCCTCCTCACAGAGGAGGCAGCACAGATAATATAATCATCATACGAAAAGCTGTCTGTTACTTCATGTTTTAATCTTATTAGATCATTAGCACTAGATTGATATGTGTAATATGTCATTTTGGTGACTTCTATTTTAAGGCCCATATGTGCTTCCCAATCATTTCATCCAACTGTCATTACCAATAATCTGTTATCTCCTACTTATCTATTTATACTTCATTCTTATGTTCATAAAGCTCTGACTCATTTTAGCCCGGCCTATATGCAGTAGAGTTATTGTATTTTCTTCCTACAAGAACATACAATGTCCATTACATAAAAAGGATGGAATGAAATGTCAGACTGGCTCAGGGAAGCAGTGAAGCATGTTTCCATGTGCATTTTTCTGCCTCAGGATGGAATATCCCAACACTGGTTTTGTCTCTGTCCAATATACTATATGCTTCGTCCAATAGTTTAAGTCAAGGTGAGCATAAATAATCCATGTGGTCATGACAGGGAATCTGCTGCATGTTCAAAACTCCTTCTATCAGTGGAAGTCAAGCACAAAAAATGACATTTTCCACACTTCACTGCTGCTCTGTTCTCTTATGAAATCAGAGCCTTATCTTGTGTCTGAAACACTAAAGGGTCTCCCTCCACTTCACTCGCTGACCAGCCTTCACCTAACCGCTTTCATTCAAGCAAATGTTCACTCTGAGCTGTGGAGAAATGTCATATAAAACTGTGTTGTTTCACAACCGGGTTTTCATTTAAAGGAGTTGAGTCAAATTCTGACTAAACTCATTGCATTTTGCTAGATATATGATTAGTATATCTTCAATGTATGTAAGCCATCAGTCATGCAGAAATAATTATGTGATCAAATGACCAAAAGCTCAAAATCAGCTGAAAATCAATTTTTCAGCAACAATGGGTGAGAAGTAAATATGGAAACTTGATCATCTGCATTTCCACGACAACAGAGCAAACACCATCTGCTGACGACGTGATATGATTGGAAGCTCTAGAGCAGCTACTATAATGAGCCCAATCATTCATAATCTTGATTTAGTATCACCAAATACATATGAATCAACAAAACCTATGCATTTGAGTTCATATTAAGTTTAAACTCAGAATTCAAGTTCTAATATTTTATATATTATATATATCATATTATAAGTAAAATGTTATTAAAATCAGAAAAAGGTTAAACCGGAAAACCTTGTTTTAATACATTCTCATGCACGAGAAGGAGCAAACACCTCTGCTGCCACGTCATATTTTCAGTGTACCAAAGCATGAGCCCTGTGTGTCGTACAGAACCAAGAGCTGAGTGTAGCGTTACTAATGCACTGTCAGCATGAACATACTCACACCATCCGATGAAAAGGAAGACCCACTTTCTGAGCTTATCGGTTGAATAAGTCATTACAATGGCTGTGTGAAGGTAACACCCCTCAACAAACATCCAAAAAAAGTTTGTCACCACAAAGTAGTTGTATATCGTCGTAATTAATCGACACCAAGGCTGAAAAAGAGAGAGAAAAAAGACACAGAGTCATTTAAACAGAACCACAACTACTTTTCTTGGTATGAAGAACAACACTTCATATCTTATTAAGACTTTTTAATTGCTTTCTGTACTCTCACTTGAAGTAATAATACATTACAACAGCCCATAATACATCCGTGCGGTTACCTCGTTGCTCTCATGAATATTGTGGTCAATCAGCTGAAGCAAAAACCACATGACATTCCTCAGTATGAAGGTGGTGATCAAATTCCAGTGGATGATGTTTCGAAGACATCGTATGCTCCTAAACCACAAGTCGAACGATAGAGACGTTTGATCGTTATGCTTTCATAGAGACGGCATTCATAGTAAAGTGAGATTCTACGTGTGACTGATGCCAGATCTGTGTTGTACATAGTAGGGTTAGAACACAAATTTGTTTCTTATACTGCAGAGAGAGGCGCCTGTAGTTCATGCAAACAGTCATGAAGTCTGTCCAGCCCTATGTTTATTATACCGAATTACCTACTAGCAGCTCCAGTCTGCTTTGTATCTATGGATGTGCAGACAACTATCATTGGATTTCTTCAACAATGAAGAAAACCTAAAAATGTGATATTTCTCTGCTAAGTTCAGCAGTTATAAGAAGCATCTTTTTTCCCCTTTTATTTCTGAGTTGTTTTATGAGCATTTATGCATGAACATCAGAGGAACTGATGCCCCCATAAAGTGTAAGTCACACTGAATCTGTGATCATGTATATCATGTCCCTGTGTTCAGATTTGACTCAGCTATGACTCAGAGAAAAAGGTGTCATCTTGATGCAAATTGCAGTTAACGGACTCCCACTACTAAATATTGAAGATATGGTGGGTTATCGTGCTTTAAAGAGCTATTAAAAGTTGAATAATTTAACTTCTCTGGCTTTTAACACAGAGTTTTAGGTTCAGATGATGGTCAAAATGCTTTTCCCAGTCAATTTTCTATTATGCAGAGGAAAAAAAAACTTCCAAGGGCAAAACAGAAGTTGATGCTCCATGAAATCTAAAGAGATTCAATCCTGGGACAAAATATTGACTTTTTTTTTTTTTTTTGGTCTTTAAACTAAAGACATATCTATTTGCTTTCAGAAGCCCACACTGACCCAACCCTACTGCACAGCACCACTGAGGCTGTTTGGTGTTTGCAGTGTTCTGACAGAGTAGATGTAGGTGTGTGTGTGTGTGTGTGAGAGTGTGTATTTAAAACAGTACATAATGCCTGGATAAAGACGTGTAATGAAATACACATTATGACTTTCTTAAAGCCTGCGTGCTCCAACTGAGCTGTGCTGCAGACATCTATTCATTTGACATAAGTGAATTAATTATAAGCAGTCCGAGGTTATTACATGAATTTCCCTGATTGTCTTCTATGAGGTCTCAGGCATACAGGACACATTTAGATAAGCACTATTTCTGTACTTGCCTTAAGCACAAGAAGAGAATGAAGGCCACCACTAGAGCTCCCACAGAGATACAGTGGCCTAGGTAGTTGATGATCAGCGCTATTTTATAATGCATTGGATATTTTCTCTGGAAAGACAACACGTGAATTACTTCTTTAATGCACAGATAGAAATGAGGTTAAGAACACATGAATACATGAAAAGAACGGGGGTGTGTCTGAAGTGTCTGTCTGTTTTGGCTGCAGTGTGTTGAGAGAAAGAAACGTCATTAACACACTTCAGAAGTCGTGGCTTAAAATGATGTGAGAAAATAGAGCGAGACCCAAAAATACACATAATCAGGAGACATGATGTGAGGCAATCAGGTCAAAACTCATTACACACAATACATCAGTCTTACACTGAGCCCTCGGGCTTCTCTTCATAGGGACACAAGGCAACACTGTACTTATGCATTTGTTAAGTCATCTGGAAACACATCTTTAAAGTCTTTAAAACTGAATGCACTTCAGTAAAGCTTAAAGAGATCAAAACACCACAAGTTACTTTCCAGTATATCTGATTAGTTTCTCCCCGTTTGCTATCAGAGTAATGATGAGACTGTGAGGAGCATTTGTCTGAGATGATTAACAGATTGTGTACTAAATGAAGGGCATAGCAGGATTTCTCCTGCGTCGCCACACTAACCTTCTCCTCCAAAATGGGTTCACAATTGGAGTAATTGCTCTTCAACGCCCACGTCCCATTTTCCATGCACTCTCTGTAAGCACTCCCTGCAAGAAAAGAGTGAGGAGCACAGCTGAGACGAGTGTAATTGTAGCAGCGTTGCAAATATTGTTAATGTTTAAAAAAAAAACACAAATTTAATGATAGATACTGTCCAAGATTTTGTTTGTCAGATCAAATCTCCCATCTGCATTCAACACCACACGCTGCATTAGCCGAGTCAGTGATGGTGCAAGCCTGTTATTTGTTGTGGCAAGATTGTAGAAGTGTTTGCCAAGCAGGTAAAGCTAAAACATCCTTGTAATTTCCTCAGGGCTCAGTTCAAAGTTGAGCACTACTATCTGTCTGAGTCTTGCACAGAATACCAATTTGGCAATACAAAATTTTATACATGGGTGGGGGGGGGGCACAAAGCCTCTTACTGTGACAGTTTATTTGCATATCATTTAAAACACGCTTTCCAGCAACTTTGAACTGAATTTTTCATTTTGCTCTTCCCCTGCCGTGCATTCAGTGGGCTCTTTATCTTTTTAACACTGACAAATGTATAAAGAATTGGGCAGAAACAGAGCAGAAATAAATTTGTAAAGGTTATTATAATCCATTCTATTATAACCGGCCACTTAAAGTGATAATTTTAACCGCTCTGCTGCCAAGATATGAATCATATATATAGTTTTTTTTTAAATTAATATTGTGCATGAAAACTCATTAATTATGCCATTATTTTCAGAAGTCACCACTGCCGGATTCATAATATTTTCATAATAAGAAGAATTCATCCTTTATGGTTATTTTACCAAATTATATTTTCCCAGGTCAAGGCCTCTAGTGTGAATTCTTCGAGTCCAGATGTCTGTATGTCAGATTAGTGTATCCTGAATTCATTACATGATCAGTTTAGCTAAACATTATCAAGGAGGTTACAATTTCCTGCAACATTTTCCAAACAATGTATGGATCTGATTGATGTAAAAGACATATACATACAACAGACATATTTATGGTTTTGAGACCTATGATTTTGAAATTTTGTTATCATACTAGTGTTTTTTTCCTTTTATTTTTCTATTATCAGAGCTGGACAGATGTGTAGGATTGTTTAGCTTAGCTGAATGCTGCTTTGAAATTATGTTCTTATGTTGCATCAAATGATCCAACTTTGTGCGGGTAAATGAACCCTGGAGCCTCTAATACAAAATACAAGAATGGATAAATGAATAAACGTGTTTATCCCTGTGTCCACAAAGTTGCATAATACAGATGTTTTCCCATTGTTTTCCCATTAGTGTTTTAGACAAATCGCATATTGTAAACTGTAATGTTCATATTCACTCATCCTGACTCAAAGAGTCTTGTGAACAACAGCGAGGAAACCATCGACCTTAGAAATCCCTACAGCGACTCTTCAGGCAATGGCAGCAGCAGAGTAAGATCCTTTGCATTTGAATTAACGTTATGTAATATGGCATTAGTGCTTAGAGAGCAGAAATCTGCTTGTGGTGGCTAGAAACAGAGAAGTAGAAAAAAAATAAAACCTTTAAAACAAGCCCACATTATGTTTTTCATTTGACTCATGGCAGTAAGTACTGTACTGTGACTAGGCGATGCTTTGTGCGATGTTTAGGAGCGAAACATTTGAGTCTGAACGTTGTGGCACAGAACAGAGTGGTAAATCAGTCAGTTAAACCACTAAAGCTCTTGAATGAGGGGAAAGTGTGTCCCCTGAGATGCAGACAAACAGTCAATTGTAATACATTCTAAAACACACTGGGCTTGTTTGTTTAACTTTGCGAAAACAAAAATTTAAAAAAAACTGCCTCGACATTTTCACTGATCAGTTGCTATGTGGCATTTACAGCGTTCTGGTGCAGTCTAGGCAACCGTGATAGGACAGCCGATGTGTCACGTATGGTTTGACCACAGGGCCGCAGATTGTGTTTGTGCCGGCAGCGAGGACATGAAGTAATGAAGGTGTTGTTGATTTAACTCTATGGTAATTTGCAAAGCTTTCTGTTGTTTGTATTGGGCTCCACATACCTTAATGTCTCCAGTCTTGAAAATAAAGCAGTGCAGCAGCAGCAACAACACAAACTACCCCTGAATCAAGAGCTATCTTACACAACAATGGGCTGTATTTAAAGGATTTACTTCTTTGTATGTACTCTAACATGTTACTGTTGTTTCCAGTTATAATAAAGAGTTTATAAGCTGTAACTGGTGGCTTTATTAAAAGTTAATCATTTACCAATGCTTCATGGATCAGTTATAAACTGGCTTAAATCAGCTTCTTTGGTTGCCGGGCATCCAATTTGACCGTTTGACCTCTGACCTTTTGGCCTTCTAACAATGGCAGACGTGATTTATATATATGTAAATCTGCAGGCTTGATGCCTTATAAAAAGAAACCAATGACTGTATTACAAAATTCACGACTGTAAACGTCAGCCGAAGGAGGTTTTTTTTTCAAGCTGGTAACCCAAAAGATATTCTTATCAATGGCTTCTAACTTGACGATGTACATTTCAATTCCATTACAAAAAGCCAGCTGAATAATATTAATGCATTCCCTGACATCCGTCTGTTTATGTGCATAATTTAAAGATAACCCAATGTTTTTTTTTATTTTTAAAAGCTTTTTACAGGAAAATAGTAAATCTTTACTCAGTATTCAAAGGAAATTGGAAAATTACTGTCCACATTTGAATGGGACAATACATTATTTTGTATGAATTGATAGAGAATATGTTGATTTTAATCTGCTTTACTTCCATATTGATTCAGCAGTACCTAAAGAGAGATTTGCTGCTGAAGCTTCTACAATGGATTTTTGGTGTTAGGAGTAATCAAACTTTATTTCAAAAAGTTTGTGTGGGAAATCACCTTCTCTTTAATTATAGAGGTGTGTTTATAATGTTCACGATTCTGTCTCTGGTTAAACTCATTTTTGCTATAGGCTACCAGAAATATTTGATGTGACACCAAATTGTCTATATATATATATAGATATATATATCTATATGTATACATGTGTGTGTGTGTGGTCACTCCATTCTCTGCCAGCCTTGGCCAATACCTCTTTTGTCATTTCAGACCCTGCCACTCCCACTTGCCCTGCAGTAACCCCAGTCTTTCCCGCCTTCCAGTCACCTGACTTCTCCCCGCCCACCTGCTCACCTGATCCATACTACCTAATTACTTCCTGGTTTATATACTGGTCCATTTCCACCTACACTCTGTCTGTTGTGAATTGTACCTTTGCAGCCACTTGTTTTTTGCCTGGTTTTCCTGACTTCACCTCCTGTTTATCTTTACCTGCTTTTGTCTGCTGAGCCTAATTAAGGTAAACAGTTTTGTCTTTAAATCATGCATTTTACTCCTTCCAATCCTGAGCTGTGACCCAGCAGATTATTTTTGAAATGAAAAGTATGATGGATAATCTGTGCAGTTCATCACAATCATATGCCCTTTATGTCATTCAAACAGTTTTGGAGAATCAAGTTGAGAGTCAGCATGGCAACATCTACGGCATCACTTTCAAGTCAACAGCAGCTAAAATTCCTCCAGGCAGGTAAGTCTGCAACATCTGACGTAACAACACAGCAACTCAGTCCAAGGTTTCACTACATATTCAACATTGTACTTATTTGCAAAACATGATGAACACTATTCTTACCCTGAGCCATGTTATATCTGCAAACAAAATCAAGAAAACTGAAAAAAAAAAAAAAAAACCTTCAGTGTTGTCGTTGTTTTCGTCTGAGCTAATATTACAGTAGCAGCAGATGCTCCAGATAAAGTTCTCAATCTCTCCAGGCAAATATCACACTGGGTTTGTGAAAGAATCAGTGATGGTGCAGAAATGAGAGGAAGGGGAGCAAGTTGTGAGGTTTGACCCTGTGAGCTATTCCACTGATGCAGGACTAATTCAAGGCACCGGTGCACGGAGAGTGGATTTCTCGCTAACCATCTGTGCATTACGCACGATAAAGCTATTCTTTTCACCTTTTTTTTTTTCTTCCTTTATATTCATGCAATTAAAATTAAAAATCACTTGATGACTCAGTCTATGACGAGTTCTGGGACTGGCATGAGGTGTTAACAATGCTGAAAGCAACCTAACACTCCTTTCGTGTAAAGATACACAAGGAGATTAAAGAAATGTCCAATTCCCAACTGGCATACCCAACGCCAACAGCGCCCACCCCCTCCACCAGCTACCCCGCCAACTTTCTGTCTTGGATGCACAAATATGTACATGCAAAACAAAAAACACCATTTTGTTGTTCAGGGATTGGAAGATTAGAAGCTTGTTTGTTGAGATAAAGAAGTAAAGGAGCTTTTAATTGCATATTGTAAGCATGGATTGGTTGTTCACGCTTAAGTGGCGCTTCAATTAAGGATGGAAAACAAAATTCAGTTATTAATTGTGGAAAGAAAAATTACTAATAAATTCTCCTAATTAATCTGGAAGGCAAACCAAAGAGTGTGCGTCTTCACTGCTGCCGAGCTTGACCTGTTTCTCTCAGCTGATTGTTTCTGTGCTACCAGCCGTGGGATCTGCAACAATGCCACAGGAATATAACGGTACAACATTTTTCACTTAAAGGTTGTGTAAGCCTGCCTTTCTGTCGCTGGCGTTTGATTGCTCTGTGCTTCAGATTGTCATCTGTCTCTTTAGTTCTGTGTTACTTTTGTGCTACGAGGTCGGTTGTCTGATGGATGGACTCAAACAAACAACAAAACTACGCCTCCTCGTCAAAGCACCAGGCTCCTGCTCACGGTTTATCACAAATTACTCACTCCTTTCAGCTGTTTAGTGAAATAACCACTAAAACTGAGAGCCTTCTATTTGGATGAGTTTCAAATAGTTGGAAAGATGAAAGGCTATAATATCTCAGAGTTGAGTGATCAAAACGGCTCATGCGAGTTGTACACCTGAGCCACTTACAGCAGCGTTACCTCCGAGCTATATGAAATTTAATTTCATGAGCCGGAGTAAAAGTAGGCCATACCATAACATAGCAGCACAGGAATCTCACAGATC